AACCCCTGGTGTCTTTCCCGTGGGACACATCCTGAGGTGCTGTCCCAAGGATGTTTTTCCCAATTGTCCCATGAGCTCCTGTCCTGTCCTGGCTGCACTAACACACTTTAAATCCGGGCTGTCTGTACAATAAATTGGCCTTTTTTCCCCAAAGAAGTTCGTGTGTGTTGCTGTCCTTTGTCCCTCTTTGCAGCGCAGTGACCACACACATTGCATTGTTTCTGCTGTTAGAAACACACCTTGTACCCTTGGCTTTGCACAAAGAGTTGAATGAATGCTACGTGTTGTCGGGAAGGAGGGAAATTTAACAGAAGAGTTTTACAGATATACAGGAGGTTCTATAGGAATGAAAGCAAGTTTTTGATATAGAAGAAAGGAATTGCTGAGCCAGTCTGACTGGATAACTAGAAGGCAAAGAGCAAAGTGAGTTGGAAGGGTCTTTTATGGCTTAGAGCAAAGGAGAAATCCACCTCAAACAAAAGATGTTTTTACCAAACAAATGGATTTTCATAGGCAAACAAGAAAGTCAATGTTGCAAGTAGAGAAAAGATCTCAGAATTTTTTACTGCAAGAAAACTGAAAAACAACTTCTAGCTTAAACTGTAACATAATAACCTTTTGTGATTGGAAATAGTGACATGAATATGGTAATGTTAGTAGTTAGGATAGGTTATATGTAAATGTAAAATATATTGTGTATATTGTTGATTGGTTGTTATGTAAAAAGATGCACAGCAGACAAGGGATATAATGCTTTATAACATGAATAGAAGGGGGTTTCAGGACACACGGCTTGCCCATAGCCAGCAGCTATAGGCTCACCCACAACCCCCAACTGCTGTAACTTCTATGTAATAAATAACATTTTAAGAGAGCCATCTGAAGCCTCCATCTCTCTGTCAGGCTCTTACAATATGTATAATGTTGAAAAATTTCACTGAATGAATATTGTTTCTTTAAGTTCTGCTATTAATGAAACTTAGAGATAGTAGTGTGATAAATACATTTTTCTTGGGCTATAATATGGTGATGTAAAAAGATTTTGTTCATGTAACTAACTCAGAGAATGGTAAAAAGATAATTAAAAAATTCTTCACATTCTTGGATTATCCTCTCTGGATAGGATGTGGGTGATGAACACCAAAACTCGAGGGAAAGGATTTATTGATCTCCATTATCAGGGAGTGCACTGACAAGAGGGAGCCGCAAGGAAGAGGGAAAAAAAAAAAGTAAAAATGCTGATTTACAGGTTGGGAGGGGGTTGATTTTGAATTATGCATGAAGGACCATAAATATGCAACAGGTTGATGCATTTAAGAAGTGTTCTCTGAGTTAAAGTGTGCTCTTGGCTGGATGCCAAGCACCTGGCCGTTGTAACTTTTTGCTTTATTGTATTTTTTTTAACTTTTTAACATCTACCAGGAAACTGAACCTCGTTTTTCACACTGGTCATTCCAAGGAAAGCTGGCTGAATTAAAAAGTGGTAAGTTATGGTTATCTGTGTCAGCTGCAGTGTGGTCAGGAGGTTAGGGGGGGATTTTGCTGATCTGCCCCTGTGCTCAGGTGAGACCCCACCTGCAGAGCTGCCCCAGCCTTTGGCCCAGCACAGGAGGGACCTGGAGCTGCTGGAGAGATCCAGAGGAGGCCATGGAGATGCTCCAGGGCTGGAGCCCCTCTGGAACCAGGCTGGGAGAGCTGGGGGTGCTCACCTGGAGAGGAAAAGGCTCCAGAGAGAGACCCCAGAGCCCCTTCCAGGGCCTAAAGGGGCTCCAGGAGAGCTGGAGGAGGACTGGGGACAAGGGATGGAGGGACAGGACACAGGGAATGGCTCCCACTGCCAGAGGGCAGGGTTAGATGGATATTGGGCAGGAATTCCTCCCTGTGAGGGTGGGCAGGCCCTGGCACAGGGTGCCCAGAGCAGCTGTGGCTGCCCCTGGATCCCTGGAAGGAGATGTTCAGTGATCATAAAGGGTGCTCAGAGCACTCAGGGCCAGGTTGGATGGGGTGTAGTGGAAGGTGTTCCTGCCCTGGCAAGGGGGTTGGAATGAGATGATTTTAAGACACAAAGCATGCAGTGATTCCACGATTTATCAGTGGATTCCCATTTTACAGGGTATTTGCAGTCTGGTTTTCACCAATCCTGTTGTGAACAAACACAACCTGTACAAACAATCTCAGGGGTTTTGCCCCCCACAGCCCAGCCCCACTGGCTGGGGTCACTCCCTGCCCTGTTCATCTCCCTGAGACAGCTTGGAAGGACAGGATTAACCCAGCCCTAAGGCTGATGTTGTGTTACAAACCAGCATCAGCAGCTCCAGAAACACTTCTCTGACAGGGAAGGCCATTTCTGGGTGTGACAAGCAGAGTTACCTGTGCCAGGTGTCTGAGCAGAATGGGCCTTGCATTTCCATTGGAATTACAGGCACTTCCTTGACATTTCTAAGCACAGTCAGGTCAATTTTGAAACCACATCTTAACTAAGTTTCTGGCTAAGTGTTAAGAAATGCAGAATGAAGATTTCCTCTCTCAGCCTAAGGAACTGCCTGCTTTGGTCAGCCCTTTGATTTGGGCATCTCTGGGACCTTATTTAAAAGCTTCTTGGCACGATTTGTATGAGGAACCTGTTAAAATTAGTGAAATATTAAACAAGTTTCAAGCACAATGATCTCCATCTGGTCCTAACAGCAAGACATGGGTAAAACCAGCTGAGAGGCATGGCCAGCAGGACCAGAGCTTCTGTCCAGAATGAAAAAAACACCTGGAGTTTTTCCAAACCTATTGGAGAGCTGGCAGCAAGCTCTGCCTGCTCCAGTTCCTCTCCATATTCCCTCCTCCTTTGTGGCCATGGACAAAACTGCAGAGCTGGGCTCTGTGTTTGGGATTTTCCTGTGCACATGGAGGAACTTCACCAAGCAAGGACACCACATTTTCCCCAGGGAGGAGTAAATAGCCACGTCCTGATCTTCACTGCAGCTCGGTGAGGACACAGTGATGTCCCTCACCCGAGAGATCCCCTGTGGGCACCAGGATTTATGGCCACATTAACCCCACAAACAATGGCCTCTCAGAGGAATCAGGACTTACCTTTAGCTGGTGCAAATAGGGCCTCCAGATGCCCTCCAGGAGGTCCTGGCGGTATTTCCTGGTGAAGTAGCCCAGGTAGGACACGAAGGCTGTGCTCAGCAGGATGTCTCCACACAAGGTGCTCTGCTGCTCTTTGAAGTCCTTCACAGCCTCAGCCCATCTCACGTTTTCAGAGGCAAGTCCCCCAACCTGCCAATTCCCAAGTCAAACTGATCAATCATACAATCATGGAATGGTTTGGGTTGGAAGGGACCTTAAAGTTCATCTCATTCAATCCCTGCCATGGCAGGGACACCTCCCACTGTCCCAGGCTGCTCCAAGCCCCAATGTCCAACCTGGCCTTGGGCACTGCCAGGGATCCAGGGGCAGCCACAGCTGCTCTGGGCACCCTGTGCCAGGGCCTGCCCACCCTCACAGGGAAGGATGACAGAAGTATTAAAGCCCATCAGCTGTTAATTGCCTTAACATCACAGATTCCCATCTCAATGCCCCCCTCCCACACAGAGCACTCCTCTCCACAGCCACAGCCTTCAGGATTTCACACAATTTATTATCACACCAGGTACGTGGGATTTTGATCACAATTCCCTTCACATTCTGTCAAAAAAATGCTTCCTCCTACCTATTTTTCATCAGCATCCAGACAGTGCAGCTGGGGCTTTGAAGAGGGTTCAGTGTCTCCTTATAAAATAAATTGCCTTTACATGCACAGATCACTTATTTGACCATCCCATTTTTTGGGATACCATTGGACATAGGAATGGAATGCCTTCTGCTTACAAGCCAGGAAAACCCAACCCAGTTTTGAGACGACCTTATGGACCTGAGATGGAGAATGCCAGACCTTAGGGTGAAATTCCCACTGCCAAGGAGAAACCTCTGTTGATGCACAGCTCTGGGCACACCCACAGCAGGCACAGCTCCCCTCTGCTCACAGGTTCTGTCACCAGGGCCAACCAGCACCTTTTCTTTTTCTTCCTCAATCCACTGTTCACGTGAACTTAGGGTTGTTATTTCTCCCTATTCTAATTTTCAGTAAAAACACTTCTATATCCTTCTGCAATTCCAACTACAGGATGCTGACATGACGCTGTCCCTTTCCCCAGGCCCCTGTTCAGTGTTAAACAGGCCCAGCTCTGACACTAATCCCTGTGACAAGCCTTAGGAACACCTCCAATGGCTCATTCCCCTAACCTGGGCTATGTTGCCATCTTAAACTGCTCTGCAGACACAGATCCCCAGCATGGGAAGGCAACACCTTCAGGCCCTCACTGAATTTCCCTGTCACACCTTCCAAGCTGACCAAGCCCTGTTTCCAGCAGAATCCCAGCTGCCTGCTGAGGGTCAGAGCCACCTTCACATTCCCAACACGATGTCACTGCTGTCTCCACAGTGTTGGCTGTCCTGCAGGCTGTCCTTGCACCCTTGTGTACCTCCATCCCCCTGATAAACAGCCAGGATCTCCTAAGCCAAGGCATTATTGGGTTCCCTCTGAACCCCCCAGCACAGCCCAGCTCTGCAGGGCACACCACGGGCCCCTCCTGCAGCTGGCAGCAGTGTTCCCTGTGCTGGGAACACTGCACACACAGGCACAGCTCTGGACACAGCTTCCAGCTCCCTCAGCTGCACACTTCAGAACCTTCTGACCCACAGCTTACATCCCTGTGCTCAACAGCCACTGAGGATTTTTGATTTCATGACCAAGCCTAAGCTGCTGTGGATATCAACCCAACTTTTGGCACCTACAGCACCCCGTGGGCAGGAGATCCACAGTTCAGCTGAGCTTTCTGTACAAAAGTACATCCTTTGATGTGCTGCCTGAACTTTTCAATTGCTGAAACATTCGTCCAGTGCAAAACCAGGGAACAATCCTGCTGGCACCAGCTTCTCTGCACCACTCAGCATTCCAAGCCCTCAGTACCCCTCTGCTGCCTTCTTTTCAGGTTGAAGAGCTTTAGCCTCTTCAATAATTCCTCACACAGAAGCAGCCTTTTGATTTTCCTTGCAATCTTTATCTGCACCGAGTGATGCAATCTTTATTATCCGGTTTCTTTTATTGCTGCTGTCTCTGCACCATTTCCCATTCTCCTCCAGCCTTTGAGGTGCAGCAGAGGGGGCGGTGGTAATGCTGCACATTCAAGATTTATTTAGAAGGTATTCACAGAGCAAGATGGGGATTTTTCTGTTTTGTTCTCCCTTCTTTTCCTAATAAACCCTAATATCCGGTTTCAGATGGGCTTTGGGTTTGGTGAGGGCTTTTTGCTTCTGGGAGCACAGAGCTCACAGCACTCTTAACTCCATCCTTTCATTCCTGAGTGATAACAATCAGCTCAGCATCACTTACAGGGCATGTGAAGCAAAACCTCATTTCTCCAATGTACTTTACATTACATTTATCTGCCTGGTGTTTCATCCCTCCATCACTTGGGATCGTTTTTACAATTCTTTATAGACAGTTGACATCATCACTGCGGAGCCGTGTGACCTCCTACACACCAGCTCATTTATGATTCATGGAATCATGGAAGCACAGACTGCTTTGGGTGGGAAGAGACCTTAAAGGTCATTCAGTGCCATCTCCTGCCATGGGCAAAGTCACCTCCTGCCATTGGCAAAGACACCTCCCACCACCCCAGGCTGCTCCAAGTCCCATCCAACCTGGCCTTGGACACTTCCAGGGATCCAAGGGCAGTCACAGCTGCTCTGGGCAGTTTATTCTCATGAGCACAAGAACTAACAGACACCTGCAAAAATACCTCTGGTGGCCTTTCTGCCCTGCCAAAACTGCCCCTCATGGAGGGGAAAACTGCCTCTGGGAAGTTTGACCACTCTCAGGAGCAGAAAGAGAAGCCTCAGATTTTCTTTGTCCCACCTGAGCTCAGAGCTGTCCCTAAATCTGCCCCAGCTGATTGCTGTGCACAAACATGAGCCACCATCCTCCTCTCCTCACAGAGCTGCAGAGGCTCCCCAGACCTTTTGCTGGTCTCAGACTGTGCTGATGTCCCTTTAGCATTGCTAGAAAGATCCTCATGGTAGGATTAGGACCACAGCTGCCTTTCTTAGGGCTGCACTATGTGTAGGGCAAAGCCTGACCCAACCCATCCAAACCTCTCTGGTTGCTGCATTGGGCTCCTGGTTTAGAGGTGAACAATCTGTTCTCAACCCATAGGTACAGGTCTGCATCTTGCATCACTGAACTTCATCCCATTCCTGTGGTTCCCATATCTAGACTATCCAGTTATTTCACTTACAACTGCCTCTTCCTGTGGGGGAATTCCCAGTTTTATGTTCTCAGTCTTGGAAGTTTGTCTTTTTATGGGAAGTCATATTCCTTACAGTGGAATGAAGGCTGGAAATCATCAAGGATCAGGCAGCACAGGTTGTACTTGCCCTGCTCCTCCTCTATTCTGGAACATTTGCTGGAGTCCAGCTGGAGCTGGACAGGCCCTGGTCTCAGCCCACATATCTCATCCCACTTCTTGAAAAAGAAGCAGAGCACTGCTTTTAAGTTATTGGTCACTTTTAAGGATCATACATAAATTATCCCTAATCTCAACTCCAGTTACAGAGCAGAGTCCAGTTCTTCCATCTTTCCCTTGTAGTTTTTATAGATGAAGCATCCATAGGTCTTCCCTCCAGTCTCCTTGAGGCTAACTCCTATATTAATCCCACAGCCCCTCTGAGACCACGAAGTCTTTATTGACCTGATTTTCCTGCTACTCAAGAGGTGCTTCCATACTCCTAATTAATTTTTTCTGGTTACTTTTTATCTCCTTAGGTCCCGGAGGTCTTTTTTTCTCCTTTGCTTGGATCACATACTACTGCCACTTTTAATATATTTAAGACATCCCAGGTGTTTCCTCCTCAGATCCTAGAAGTCATTGGAATTCTTTTTACTTAGTAAGAGGCAAATTAAAAGCTGCTCCCTGGATTACCTTTGGCTTTTTGATAATGACAGAGAGTGAAGAACCCTTCCTCACCCACCTTCTGCACACCTCTATGATTTTAGAGGCTTCTGTCACATCCATCCCCTCTACACCTTTTCCAAAATGAAGAGCCCTAATCCATTCCCTCTCTTCTCATATGGAAGTGGTTACACACTTTGTTGCAGCTTTCCTAGGCTGCCCACAGCCTGCTTAGACAGGGTGACCACATGTGGGATGTAGGCACTGACAGACCCAATACGATGACGCTTAACTTCTGTTTCCTGAGATTTTTCCTCCCAATTAGTAATACTCAATTTGTCTTTTTTCCTCCTGTCAAGTGCCACGCTGCTGTTCCTGAGAACTCTCTGCAACAACTCCAAGGGCTCTTCTGTGAGTGATAATAGTGCAATTAGGCCCTATCCATGTAACTGCATGATTACAGTTTGTTTTCCCTGCACACGTTATTTAGCATTTGTCATCACTAAATTTCCTCCTCTGCATTAGCACACACCCACTCACAAACACCACTCATCAGCCAGCCTCCCTTTCTGGTGCACAGATCCTGTTCCTTGGATCCTGGAGCATCTTTCTTGGGCCTCCTGAAGTTCATGAGATGCCAGTATGGCACTGTGAGAGCCTCAATCCCCCAGGTTCATTTGTCAATCCAAAGCATTGCTCTCCATGTTCAGTTGCATTCTTTATATAACCTCAGACGTGTTTCTTTCAATGTCTGGGAACTCATTTCTACCCACAGCCACACCAGTGACACATCCTGAATGTCAAATGAGCTGCACAGCAGTGAGGGCTGTCAGCTCCTATTCCTAGATCAAAGGCACAGGAGATGGGGTGCAGTGCACAGCAGGAGTTGGGATGCAAGGAGCTCCTTGCCTACACTGCAGAAATGATGAATTGCTGACAGTATAAAATCAGAGAATTGTTGAGACTGGGGACTGTTCTCATGTCATGGGGTAGGGAAGAGTTGTAAGCAGCATGGCCTGGAACCTGGTGGCATAGAATCACAGAACCATGGAATGGTTTGAGTTGGGAGGGACCTTAAAGTTCATCTCATTCAATCCCTGCCATGGCAGGGACACCTCCCACTGTCCCAGGCTGCTCCAAGCCCCAATGTCCAACCTGGCCTTGGGCACTGCCAGGGATCCAGGGGCAGCCACAGCTGCTCTGGGCACCCTGTGCCAGGGCCTGCTCACCTTCACAGGGAGGATTTCTTCTGTATATCTAAACTAAATATCCCCTCTTTCAGTCTCAACACATTCTTCCTTGTCCTGTCACTACAGTTCCTGATGCAAAATCCCTCTCCAGTTCCTTGGAGGCCCCTCTTTAAATAGCTTTGTATTCTGGTTTGGAGGAGACTGAGGCTTTTAGAGAGCTTTGCACTCTAATTCTTGTTATTTCAGAAGCTGCAAAGCTACAGGTATGTTCCCACCTTTGTTTTTATGATACCACTTTTGAGTCACACTGTTTTGGCCCATCAGTACCTGCTCACACATTTAAGCCCCAAGAAGGAGGTGAGAGCTGTGATGGCAGCAGAGCCAGGCACTCGAACCACAGAGCTGCCCTGATACATGGAAACAACCACTGCAAAAGCATTTTCACCGCTGAAACTTGCTGCAGTGAAGGAAACTTTTCCAAAACCATGAGAGGACGGAATGTGCTGTGTGTCAGGGCTCAGCCCAGCCCTGGTCCCTCCCATGGGGCCAGCAGAGCTGTCCCTCTGGCACTCACCAGGCGGTTGGCCAGGGCGATGGTGCAGGCTGTGGCCTCAGCCTGCTGCTGACACTTGACTTTGTCTGCCGTGGCCTGCTCAAACCTGGCCGTCAGCTTGCTCAGGTTCTCGTTGAGGCGCTGTGGGGGAAAAACAGGAGGAAGTCAGGTTTGAACAACTAAGGAAGGATGTGGGGCTGTCGGAGGAGTCCAAAAGGCCATGAAGACTCTCCAAGGGCTGGACCCTTCTGCTCTGGAGGTCGGAGAGCTGGAGGTGTCCAGCCTGGAGAACAGAAGGCTCCAGGGAGAGCTCAGAGCCCCTTGCAGGGCCTAAAGGGACTCCAGGAGAGCTGGAGAGGGACTGGGGACAAGGCATGGAGGGACAGGACAAGGGGAATGGTTTACACTTCCAGAGGGCAGGGCTGGATGGGATATTGGGCAGGAATTGTTCCCTGGGAGGGTGGGCAGGGCTGGCACAGGGTGCCCAGAGCAGCTGTGGCTGCCCCTGGATCCCTGGCAGTGCCCAAGGCCAGGTTGGACATTGGGGCTTGGAGCAGCCTGGGACAGTGGGAGGTGTCCCTGCCATGGCAGGGGTGGAATGGATGGGCTTTGTGATCCCTTCCAGCCCAAACCATTCCGGGATCCTGAGATCCTGAGGCAAACCCTTGTCCAGAGATGGCCAAGCTCCAGCCCAGCTCATCCACCCAGGGCTGGCAGCAGGAGCCAGGGCTGGGCTGGGCTGTGCTACTGCTTGGAACTCACACCCTCAGCACAGGCAGAGGCAAAGGACACACAAAATTAATTTATTTGGGGATTCTGGCTGGGCCCTGATGACGAGTGCTATGGCTGAATAGGCAGCTGAGGAACCCAAATCTGATATTTCCTGATGCTACAGCCCCTGGTCTCCAAGCAGTCCTGGAGGCTCTGCTGATTCCCCAGTCGTGCTCAAATCCCCAAAGCACTCCTGGAGTTCTGCCTGAACCATTTCCAAACCATGCCCTCACACTGTTTCCAGCAGGAATGTAACAGAATTAAATGGTTCTGCTCTGAGAGCTGCCCAGGAGTGTGCCAGGAGCTCCTGGTGAGATGGGGCCGTGTCCTGTGCAGGTCACAGGCCGGGGGGACAGGAAGAGGCCAAAGCACCTGCAGAAAAAACTGCAGAGCCCTTTGCTAGGACAGAGCTGTTCACACTCGGATCTAAACCAAACCAACAGCTCCCATGAGCACTTGGAGCATTTCACTTCTGATAAGAGAAGTAATAATTGATTTTATCTGCACCCAATGCAGACTGCTTAAGGCTAAACTGCTTGTAAATCACTTTTACATTGAGCTACACACTAGAAACAAACTTGAAAATGAAAAAGGATTATATTAGAGATCTCTGCAGCTCTCCTGGATACTGGCAAACACAAAGCAGCCTCTCCTTGACCTGCCTTGGAACAATAACACAGAAAGTTTCTGTCCCTGTGTGCATGTGGATCTATAAGCCTACAGAGGCTCATATATACCATATTCCACTATAAAAGCACGATCTGATAATTGAATTTCTATAGAATATATGCATATATCAGGCCTGCAGGGCTCCACCAGGAGCACACAAATACAGCTGTGTGCAGCTGTGGACACGCCTTTCACTGCTGCCTCCACCAGCCTCAGGTGCAGAGCACTCAATTCCCAGGCAGGCAGAGAACACAGGAAGTCCTTAATGTTTTGGACAATCAGATTTTTCTCATTTATTAATAAAAATGAGTATGAGGCAGCTTGGGGCCCAGCTGTGAGCAGGTATGAATCAGCACACAGCAGTGAAGCTATCCAAGATATCCCAGAGAAGTGAGGATATACCTCCACATCCATCCCACTCTACCCTGCACCATTCCCCATCTGCAGAGAGCAGAAGGATCCTAAACCAGGCAGTTTTGTAAGAGCATGCCAGAGGAGCACCAGTAATCTCCCCAAAGATTGCAATTTTCTTTAACAAAATCCCACTCTTTTGAAAAGAAAAAAATAAAAAAAAGCCCAGGCATAAAAAGCTTTGGAAAAGAGTAGCATAAAGGGATGAAAAAAGTTTCCCAGCATTGTATGGCACATCTGAGGTGGGAGAATTAGACACCAAAGCCCTCTAAATCCATCCCTGCTTCAGGTGCCTCCTTTCATCTGCAGCAGGAAGGAGGGATCTGAGAGTTCAGCACCGTTTTCTCATATTTTTAGTTAAAAAGTGTAGTAAGCATTTTAAGAATGATAAGCCCTTGAAAACTTCAAAAGAGTGATGTGTTTTCTAACAGGGTGAGGGGCTGGTGGAAGGGGTGAGGGGAGCAGAGGGACCTCACTCACTGGGACCCTGCCCCTGCTGTGGAGGGGATCCCACTCCCAAAGAGAGATCCCAAAACACCCCAAAACCAGGCAGGTTCTGCTTCCCATACTCTGCTCTTAGCAGGTATTGTGCTGGGAGGGAGCAGGAAGAAAAGCAGGATAAAGCAGGATGTGTTTTCACATAGAGATAATTTTCTGAAGGAAAATGATAAAGGCCTCACTCTACACTCTCTGGAAATGCACTTTTAATCACGCTGTAATTTCTTCTATTCAGAGATTTTTAAATTTTTTTTTTTTTTTTTTAAGTAGCAAAAATCCAAATAACATCCAAGATGTGCTGCCAGGGAGCTGTGCCATGACAAATGAGGCTCCTGCAAGAGCAGTTGTCATCCTGCAAAGCCAGGGACTGAGTGTGCAGCCAGCCCAGCACTGAATCAGCCTCCAGCCCCTGTCCCCTGCCCTGTGCAGCACACTGGGAACACACTGCTTTGAGATAATGAGTTTTCTGAGGACCCAGGAGAAGAGGTAAATTACATTTAAAAAATTAGGTGGGAATAATAAGGATGCATATTTACTCTTCCTCTTTGGGTACAAGCAAAGCTTGAGAAGAACACAGGAAATTTAAAAAGCAGCAATATTCTGTCACAGAATCACAGAATGGTTTGAGTCGAAAAGGATCTTACAGACCAGCCTTTTTCACCCCCTGCCATGGCAGGGACACCTCCCACTGTCCCAGGCTGCTCCAAGCCCCAATGTCCAACCTGGCCTTGGGCACTGCCAGGGATCCAGGGGCAGCCACAGCTGCTCTGGGCACCCTGTGCCAGCCCTGCCCACCCTCACAGGGAACAATTCCTGCCCAATATCCCATCCAGCCCTCCCCTCTAGCAGCCAGTGGGAAGCCATTCCCTGTGTCCTGTCCCTCCATCACTTGTCCCCAGTCCCCCTCCAGCTCTCCTGGAGTCCCTTTAGGCCCTGCAAGGGGCTCTGGGGTCTCTCTGAAGCCTTCTGTTCTCCAGGTGAGCACCTCCAGCTCTCCCAGCCTGGCTCCAGAGGGGCTCCAGCCCTTGGAGCATCTCCATGGCCTCCTCTGCATCTCTCCAGCAGCTCCAGGTCTCTCCTGTGCTGGGCCCAGGGCTGGGGCAGATCTGCAGGTGGGGTCTCACCGGAGCACAGGGGAAGAATCCCCTGCCCTCCCTGTTGCCCACCCTGGAGCCTCAGCCCAGCACAAGGTTGGATTTTGGGGCTGCCAGTGCAACAGGAGGGAGAGAAATCCCTGCAACCCCCAAACCTTTGGATTGCTACCCCTGCTTTAGAACACAAGCACTGAGCAGCAGCTCTGCCCTAAGGAGAGGATTCCCCCAGGCAGGGACAAGCAGGATGGATCCCCCCAAGGGTACTCACGGCGATTTTGGCCTTGACAGTGGCCAGCTTGTCCTGGGCTGCTGCCAGCTCAGCGTTGGCCCTGTCCAGAGCCTGTCTCTTGGGCTGCACCTCGGAGAACACGCGGTGGAAGCGCGCCATGTTCAGCACCCACGAGCACAGCCCGGCCGCCGACGACGACTTGGTGGCCACGAACTCGGGGTTGAACTTGGGGTCTTGCAAATAGGGCTGGAGGGCTTTGAGGCAGTTCTCATGGATGTTCTCCTTGTTGAAGTTGATCAAGGAGTCCAGGAAGCTGTCTACCCTTGCCATGGCCACTCTGGCTGCCTTCCAGCTCCTGTCCTTGGGGATCCTCCCTCCCGGGGCCGTCAGCACCATCACGGCTGCGGTGACGTTGCTGACAGCAGAAGGAGGTGACCCAAAGGACCTCAGCTCCGTCAGATTGGTCTGAAAAGGGGAAAACAAGGTTGTTAGATAGAAATGAATGGGCTTTCTTTTCACTCTGCCACTAATAGAGTCAGGCTCCCAGGCTATCAATCTGATAAATTGGGCTCCTCTCAGCCCCAGCAGTGCTGCCTTTAGATCACTGCCCTGCAGCTTTGCAGCACACCTGCTCCATTCCCTGCTCCTGACAGCCCACCTGGGACCAGCACAGCACACTGCTCCTCCCCAGGCTCCTGGGGGAGCAGCAGGTTTCATGCCTTCTCAGAAGATTGGGATAAATAAGAATGAAACCCATAAAAATAACACTCAGGCCCTCTAAAACCTCCTTCAGAGCTTCCCTTCATGCTCCCTCCTACCCAAGCTGAGATGTCCATGCCAAAGCCATGCTGTGATTCCCACATCCTGCAGCCCTCAGGGTTCAGGGAATGCAGCTGCTGAGAAAGCCCAGGCACCCTCACAGGACAAGGAGCCAAACTGCACTGGAGGAGCCAAAGGGGCATTTTTGTCTCTCAGTACTGATTTCCTGTGTTCTCAAACTTGTTACCACACCTGGTTTTGCAGTTTTTTATTTTGCAGGTGCTCTGCATTGGGTCTATCACAACCCATATGCCATTTACCATTGTCCATATAACAATTACCTTAATTATCATCCATATATATGTTATTATCTCATATATGTATAGATTTATCTCTCCACAACATTTTAAATAACTTCTCAGTTTGTCTCGGTCACTCTCACTGCCACCAGCCCCTGCAAAAGGCATTATAGCAGGGGAGAGAGGGGCTGCAGCAGGTCCCACCCACACAGCCAAAGCCAGGCTGAGCCAGCCCACAGTCACTTCTTGGCTCACATGGAAAAAGAATAGGAAAGGAAAGGAAATTTTCAACTGTCAGGAACACAGAGAGAATTCACTCTGGCAAGGCTGAGCAGGGCCAGCTCTCCTGACAGAGAGGCACCAAGAGGGACTATTTAAAGCATCAGAAGGATAATCCTCCCAGCACAAACACAGGAGCAGAAATCAAGGTGGGTTTGAGGTGCAGCTGATGAGGAAGAAACAGCCTGGTCATGTCCCAGTGGCCATGGCTGCTCTTCTTTTGCTCAGGAAGGTGACACCATCACAGAAATGTCCACGTATCCACATCCTCACTGACTATATGGATTCATTATTGGATTCTACTCAACAGCTTTTCTCAGTGTGTTCCTTGTTAATGTTGCATATAACCCTGCAGTCCAGGGAAGATGGCTGAGATAATTGGGCAAAAGCTGTACAAACACACATAAACATTGCTGATTATTCATGTCAGACAGGTTGAGCTCTCTGATACATCTTCAGCCATCTCCATCTCCAGGTAAAGGAGACCATGGCTTCCACTGCTCTGCTACTGCTGCTTTACAGTTTCCTGGAGAAAATCCCCGTATTTCCCCCATCTTTACCTAATGAGACATTCCACAGCTCCAGCAAGAACTTGGAACTAACGGAGAGCCAAACATTTTCCTTTTGCACTGTCCGTTCCCTCCCACAAAGGAAATCCAGAGCACAGCAAATCTACCTCCTTCCCAAAAGCTAATCCAACAGAATGCCCCTGCTGGATGGCTCCAAGGTGCTTTCCCGTCCCCCAGTAGGGGGACTGAGCCATGGGTAGGCCTTGCTGTGACTGGGGGGTTTCCAGCTGTGGTTTCCAGCTGTGTGCTGTGGGAGGCTGCTGCCCCAGGACACTGCATGAACTGCAGAACAAAACAAATTGCAGGTCCATCTCTCAGGCACATCACAGAACCACAGAATCAACTAAGTTGGAAAAGACCTTTGAGATCATCATGTCCGACCTCTGACCCAACACATCCTCATCAACTAAACCATGGCACTGAGTGCCACATCAAACTGGAGCCCCCGGAGCACCCTTGAAGGATAAACCTTCCAAGGCACAAAAAGTCCTCCCAAAACCAATCTCCAGCAATCAGAGCAGTGTTTATCTCCTGATCACATGTTTTCCCAGTGGCATGTTCCTTTGGACCAGCTTTGTGTGCTCCTCTCCATGGCAATGAGTGAAGGGGAACATGGTGCAGCCTCAAGGGTGCTCCGAGTTCTACCTGGAACCCCAGAATTATGGTAGGACCCACAGCTGCTCTGTGGGTTAGAGAGGGTTAATGAATGAGTTTTGTTTTGAGAAGTATTCTCTGACCAAGGCTGTTGGCCTGGAGACCAAGAAGAGAAGGAAGAAGAAACCTGCACGGGGAAAAGTATTTTTAGAAAGGTTTTATGGAAAACAGAGGCGTAGATGGCTTTACACCAATGAACGTTATGTTGAGTAATTGTGACCAATGAAGAAAGTGTAAACTGTGTAGAGGGTATAAAAGACAGTGTGCTGTTGTAATAAACAGGTATTGGCCTTCTGAAATGTAGTGTGTCTATTTGTGTGTCACACCCTCCCCTACAGCAACACAGAATCAGAATTAACCAGGCTGGAAAAGACCTTTGAGATCATCAAGTCCAAACACCAAACACCACCTTGTCAACTAAACCATGGCACTGAGTGGCACAGCCAACCTTTTTTTAAACACTTTAGCACCAGCAGGGAAGAAGCTGGAGGAGGAACAACACAATGCCCAGAGCTTGGGCCATCAGATTACACAGCCCCTCTCCCCCAACACAGAGGAAAAACACTGGGAATATTCATCCTACCTTGTTGAGGGTGTTGAGAGCATCCTGGGCAGCTGCCAGGGCAGGCTCAGCCTTGGCCAGGTCCTCTTCACAGTCCTTCTGCTTCTGCTCGACCTCCTGGGTGATGAGAGCCACCTTCCGCTCCTCCTCATCAGCCACCGCCTTCTTCTTGCTCACCTTCTCCGTCTCCACCCCCACCACCTGGATCAGCCTGTCAGCATCCTCATTCTTCTGCTTCAGCTCCACCTCCTGGGCTGCCAGCTTGGCCTTCAGCTCATCCACCTGCAGGGCAGAGATTTGTGGGAGCTGGACTGTCCTGCCTGCTCCTCAGACCCAAGGCAGGGAGGGCCTGGCTGTCAGCAGAGTCCTGGTGATGCCTGAAGTTTCAGCTTTCGTATTTCCAGACTCTGCACTGCATTGGTGTGTGACTCTGAAC